GGGCATACTATTTTTCCTCTATGAGCTTGTCATTATAAAATATCCCAAATAAGTTAAATAAGAATTCTTGCTTCAGTGGGTCTAACAGGGCAATAAAACTCATCATTTTGGCTTTTTTCTGAAAACTGCTTACAAGTTTTACGATCACGTATGGAAATGTTTTCTAACTTGTATAGATATCACATTTTGTTTTGTTTGTCTTGCAGCTGTAAGTTTTTCTTAAAGACAAACAATGCTGTAAAGAAACTTAAAATCTAGACGTGACATTAACTAACAATGTCATTGTAGAAATAGCATGTGGCTAAATCTTAGAACAGCCACACTGATTACTACATATGATGGACAAAAAGGAGCAAGAAAAATATAAAAAAATATAAATGTCAATACAAATAAGACAAAACTACAGTACACCATATTAGTACAGTAAAACTAGACTCTTTAAAAACTACATTTAAACTATAAGTCCTCAAATCTTTTGAAGATAACCAATAGCGGAAAAGTCTTGAAGCAGGGATATATCTACAGTGGCATAATACCACACAACAGTTTACAGAAGATACTTAGTTGTTAAAAATAATAATAATCATCATCATCATCTTCACAAAAATTTGCACTCTCTAGCCAGAAATTTATTTACCTGGTTTTGAGATGGCATAAATGATAAATGAGGCTAATGGTGCCAAAAATAATGTACCTAAAAGCCAAGTGTCATTAAATGTTTTATAACATAAAAGGTATTTGTCAATCTTTTCATTTACCTTAAAAGACAAATGAATAAGGACATTGGACTTGTAACCTGAAATTGCACCCACTCGTATATTTCAGTATGTTGAAAAATCTTCCCTTTGTAAGTTTAATGACCGGCACCCCTTTCAAATGCAACCTGCTGGTCTTCTCATATCTGTATTATTACAGTAACAATGTTACTGCATTACTTCTGCTTAAATTTCTAGTGTCTAAAACGGGAAAACACTCACTCAATAAACAGTGAAATATTTCAGCTTTAGGTCCACACTAATCTTAATGGAGTTCTATATATGAATACCACACAAATTATACTTAGGCTTTAATTTATATCCCTGTAATTTTATGTTTATTAGCAATACAACCAAAGTCATTTTGGTTTCTACCATGTCAGCATTGTCAGAGAGCATAATTTTCTTTCAACACATCACCAAGAGCATCAGGAAAAGCTACCTCTTTCTTTCAGATTTTAACATTACTAAAATAAAAAAACAAAAAAACCCCAATAATCATTCAATATTTATTCTACAGCTAAATCTACTGGATGCCTGGATGGGTACTTAAAACAGACACATACATACATACACGGTGTTTACAGTTGCAGTAATTAAGAATTAACAGTATTCTAGAACAGGGGACATTATCTTTAATCAAATAAGCAGTTGTTCAAAATGACTTTGCCGGTAAAATGAATTTCCACATCAAAAGACAACAACTAACATTTACGCTAAGTTATCGGAATTTAATATTGTTCATTTGTCAACTGTCATAAAATGGGATCATCCTTAGGCTTACTGGAAAAAGTAGGCATGTAATATAAGTGTTAACAACAACTGATCTGTTCATAGAAGAATTACTTGTTTAGTAAGATACAATTTCACACTTGTTAATGTTTATTTAACTTATTGAAGGTTAAGTTTTTAGCACACCGCACCAGAAATGAAACACAACTCCTGTCTTTTATTGTTAAGATGTTGAGGAAGGGATTGCATGAAGCATTTCTGATAGCTTTCCATTCATTTTTAGTGTCAGTATATATCCTCTTCAAAACACTTGTTTTGGCCTTTTCCTTTTGACAGTCACAATAAATGCAGTTCGCACTTACAGTGTAGTGCACCTTTCAAATATGAATTATTTAGTTTCAACCACCATGTAAAGTGGGGATGTATTTAACAGATGACACAGGCACAGAGATTTTTTCAGAGGTGCTGAGCACTCAAAACTCCAGCAGAATTCACTGAGAACTATAAGTGCTGAGCATCACAAGAGTCAGGTTCTAAGTGACCTGGCCTAAAATCATACATGAAGTCTGTGTCTAACTTTGTTGCTTTTCTCTGCATCCCCTCAATTCGTCTTTATCTAATAACCGGGTGTGTATACATCAAGGCCATGAGAAGGAACCTTCATTGCTGCAGTTCATATGGCTGATAGCTTGCCCAAGGCTGTTTCAGTGAACTGGAAATCAAAACCAATAAGCCACTGCAGCTAAGGAGTATGGTGATCCAAACAACTAAGTCGCTGCTAGTGGCCATCAGGGAGAGAGAGGAAGTCAACTGAGCAAACTACTGCTAAAGCTTCCCCTGCCAGGTGTGGAGGGAAAGAGAGAAGCCATTGTCCTAAGGTGGCTGGATCTCATAGGTCAAAGAGTGGTGGACAGAGCAGAAAGAGATGGTAAGGGGAGAAAAAAAAAAACCTCAGCTAACTAAAAGAAGGTAATTGTACACAATGCTGAAAGCTTGGCTGCCAGAGTCAGGAAAACTAGGATATTTGGTGTCTACATATTTCTTTAAGGCCAAGAAAAAAGTTTAAATTTTACCTCAAGCAAGAACTGGAATGGAGCTACCCACTCTTTTGTCCAAAGTAGTGAAAGGCCACATCATGAGAAGAAACTGCCACCTACGTTTCTGTAACTATTGTTCTTCTATGTGTTGCACATGTCCATTCCATTGTTGGTGTGTGTGCGCGCGCTTCATGCACAGCTACTGGAGAACTTTTTCTCCTCAGTGGTATCTGTTGGAGCAGCTCGAATGGTCTCTGGTGTCATGCACAACCTCATGGAGATAAGGGGACTGAGCTGCCCCAACCCTCCTCAGTTCCTTCTTACCAGATAGACTCCAATAGAGAAGGAAAGGAGGATGAGTCATAGAATGTACATGTGCAACACATCTCAAAGAACTATACCTTATGGAAAGGTAGGTGTCTCTTTCTTCTTCAAGTGATTGGACATATCCATTCCTGCCTCCAGGACACTGTACCACAGAAGTAGATAGCATAATGGAATAGGCCACCCAAATACCCGACGAGAACCTGCTTCAATAAAAGAAATAAATCCACTTCCAACTGTACACCCTGGTTCTCACTTACCACATTGGAACCTATATGGGATTTCAGACTACAACGTCTACTCAATGGGGCCCCCATCCTGAAAGAAATCTTTCCTGACTCCCCACTTCTGGCCTTCAAACCACCCCCCAACCTCTCCAAGTCATCATTAGAAGCAAGCTCCCCACAGACAAGGACACACCAACTGACAGCAGCACCAGACCCTGCCAGAACAGATGCAAAACCTGCAGACATCTCTCTCTCTACTGCTACAATAATCAACACCCCCTTCACATGCCTATGACAACATGTGGGATATCTCCTCCAGTGCACTAAATTCCCCAACCACTGCTACGTGGGTGAAACCAGACAATCACTACGCTCTTGAACAAACTCACAGGAAAATGATAAAAGACAAAAATACCACATTACCTATGGGTAAACACTTCACAAAGCGATCACTCCACATTTGACTTATCAGTCCTCATCCTCAAAGGAAACCTGCACAACACTTTCAAAAGTTGAGCCTAGGAGCTTAAATTCTGCTAGACACTAAAAATCATGGATTGAACAGACACTGGATTTATGATTTATTACAACAATCTGTAACCCGCTAACCCCATCTTTTTGTCCTATGTCTGCAGAGGTGTTAGCAGGCCACTCTACCTTGACGGGTCACTTACAATATGTGCTCACTACTTACACTAAACAATCTGTTCCACCTTGCATTTTGCTGTGACGCTCAGAGTATCTTTCCCCAGAGCTGAAGAAGAGCAATGTGTGGCTCAAAAACTTGTCTCTCTCACCAACAGAAGTTGGTCCAATCTAAGGTATTACCTCTTCCACCTTGTCTCTTGAATATCCTAGCACCAACACAGCTACAACTAGACTGCAGTAACAACAATGGGAGACATACAGATAAATCACTATACACAACCTGAACACTTCCTCCTGAACTCAATTTTTATTCTGATTCACACTTTTTTTTTTAAACGAAGTAAACAAAGCCACACATCAGGAAGTCATATCCATCGGGTTCTGCTCTGTTCTTGGACCTCTCCTTGACTCCTATGCCCCAGGGAAATTCCCAATCCCTCTCTCTTCCCAATCCCTGTCTCAAGAGAGCCACTCAACCTTTCCCCTGAGCACCTGCATAAGCAGAGGGGTAAACTGGCATTAACACCTTATTCTCCTGGATCAGCTAGTGCACATACACTTGATCACATCCCTCTGTTTGGTGTTGAAACTATAATAACTAATAAACAAAACAAAAGTTTGCACTGCGTATTTTGATATTCTGCTAACATTGCCTAGCAAAGCCACAGGAACTGAGGAAACTAATTCCTCTAGCAGCTCACATTGGAAAGCAAAATGTTATTGAATTGTAGAGTGTTTTTGGATACTAGTTGACTTAACTCATTTGTCTAAAGGAGCATGAGGGAAGGAGCGAATAAGCTCGATGCATCAGCCAAATCTAATTCACTTATAAATCAAACAACACTGTTGTAATGATTTCTCATAATAGTAATATAATATGGCTGTCTGCTTGCAATAGTATGACAGTGAATTATTTACTCTCTCCTAGCAACTACCTTACTCTATCAATTTCATAGTCTCTGTAGCTCAGAGGCAAGTTCTAATATTTATATATTGGCAGCCACTGAATGTCTATCTGAGATGAAGAAAAATAAGGAGATGACAATATCATAGTTTAAATGTTCTTTTCAGTGAATGGTTCATCTGAGTTTGATCTCAAGTTGATTTCTAAATACACAGTTGTGTATTTAACACAATAAGCCAATATTTTCATATATATTATCTTAGTGTATGCAAGGTTTATAGTAGTTTACTGCAGAAAACTAAGATTAATGCTCCTAAGAAAAATGGAGTGGATTTTAACCACACTTAGCTTTTCCAACATGAAAATTACTCACATCTCCAAACAATATCACAAGTTCATAAACCACTTCTTCTTCCTAGTCACTCAAAGACAAATAAAAATGTGTAACTCTAAAAACATTTCAAAACCTAATCAGTGAACAAAATTCCATTTATTACAGTTTGTCTGAAGAGCTATAGTGTTCTTGATCTATAGAATTCCTGTTTTAAATGATACTGTATTCATCTGACAGCAAAAGAAAAAAAAATCAATACTTTTTTAAAACTTATTTAATGGAGGGTTGCACAAAATTCACTATTCAGGGTAAAGTTCTTCAAAATATACATTGCAATATACTTTTGGTCAGTGATCAGAACATCTTGTTAAATTGCTATTCATTACAGAGGTCACATCTATACTTACTTTTTCCTACCTTTAGTAATTTCTCCTCTTACTTTATGGCTTGAATCATTTCCTTTGGCTTACCAAACCCACATAACCACCACGCAAGTTCAGTACAAATAAGTGAATAATTTTGTTAAGTCTGTAAATAAATCTTTGCAGCACTGATTTCATTAGCATCTTTCTACATACTAAAAGGTCTGATTATAGGCTTCCACTGCTTAAGCAAGTAAAAGGAAAGCTGAAGCCTGATACAGTAGCAAATTTATGATACAAGGAGTGGAGGCAAACTCTATATTCATATTGCCTAACATTTTCCATTATAAATATGTTTTGACTTTTTTTTTTTTTTAAAGAGATCAACCGCCACCATAGTTTGCAGCAGGAACTTGAAATTTGGTGGAATGATGACCCTGGGGTCAGAAAGGAGACTTTTGTTATCTCCCCTAAAATCCTTTCAGATTTAATTGTGTTATAAACTGTCAAATATCACCATTTCTTGTCTGTATTTTGCTCTGTGAAGCTTGCTAGAGCCTTAATGCTAAAGTTCCTGAACGTTCAATACCGTACAATTGCACATAATACAATTTATTTTTCCTCTTTTTAAAATAACCTAGGAAATTATATACAAAAACCTACGTTAAAAGAAAGTTAAGATTGGAAACTCAAGCACCCAAAAGTCAGGAAATACCAGAATCAAGACCACCCAGGAACACTAATTCTGGCCCTCCATGTGTAGGGCTGGTTTGGAAATTTTCCTACAGAACATTTTTCCTTTGAAAAACGCCGATTCATCAAAAGCATGACATGTTGAGGAAGTGTGCTGCCTTTTAACAAAAATTCATTTAGAAACTAAAAATAAAAACAAAAAAGCATTTTAAGGTCAATACATCCCATTTCAAACTTTTTGAAATGTTCTGATTTTCCATTTTGAAATTACTTTTTTCAGTTTATTTCATATTATAAAATGAAGTCAAAATCAGAAAGAAATGTTTAGATTTTGTCAAAACAAAATGTCTTGATCAACTTTTTCCTAATTTTAGCTTCTATAAAGTTTCAAAGACTTTGGTTTTCTTCCAGAATAGAAGAAAATTCAAATTTGTGACACTCTCCCCAAAGCAAAAAATCCAGTTCACGCACACCTCTACTTATTTATAATGCATTGAGAGTTTTCAGTCACATAATCATGTATTTTCCTGCCCGGAACCTTGCTTCATTTACTTATTAGAAAGAGAATATGGAGGGCTGGCCTTGGGTAGTTAAGGCTTCACATATTAACATCAGCACTTGAATTGCACCCAGAAGCAAAGAGGTGGCCACTGCAATCTTTGAAGCACTGGAGTAACATACTCTACACATAGCTAACATCTCCAAGCAAGTGGTCACTGCTGTCTGTAGCTTTAAAGTGGTCTTCCAAGCATAGCGCAATATATAGTAAACAGATCTAGACAAAGGGAATAGTTAATAGATGCAAGATCTACATGCAAAATAGTTGCAGTTTTCAAGTCAAGATGAAAGCACAGATGAAAAAATATTTTTGTAGGCAATTAAAGCTACCTCGGATTCCAGGAGCAACTGGGTTCTCGAAAGTATTCCTAGAATATATAGCATTTTTGGCAAAGGGCAAGCATGCTCCAAAGCGACCATTTTCTCTATCCACCAGTCAGAACTGGTTTTGAGATTTTGAAGAAGATATCAGAGAAGGAAATGTTTTCAACTAGAGAACCAATCACAACATACATTTTTTAATACATTGTCGCAATCAGTGGGTTTTGGAACTAGATTACCTCCACCAGGATTTTCACCTCCAGTGTATCTGTTACAATGAATCATAGAAACCATTGTACTGATAGCCTTTGACAGTAAATGCTCAAAATCCAATAGGACACTAACCTTAAGCAAAGCCTGAAACTGACTTGAGTACAAGTTGACATATAATTTAGATAGTATTTGTAATGGACAAAGAGGGAAGGAGATTTGATTCACAACTAACATAGGTTTACTAAACTCACTGATTAATATATAGTGTCCATATATGCAATTATCAATGTATCAACTCATAAGAAATGTATCAATGGGAAAATAAAATATATAGTTGCTTAGCGCAACCTTTACAAAATGGGAGCTGCTTTAACACTAGGGTTACAGCCATGAATATGGTGTAACAAATGATCATGTAACAAGTAACACTAAAGCCTTGTCTAGGTGATTATATGTGTTGTTCAAAAGAAAATAAAAGGGGTGTTGAGCAAAATACTTATGAAATACAATGGACTAAAATGACTGCCTTTTTTAAATGATTGCTATTTTGATATCTGTACATTAACTATTTCAAAATTTCAACTATATAGGTGAAAACATTTTTAGCGAGTGAACACTTTATTGGGTGCATATATAAGTAAGAGGCAGAAGAGAAAAACATTACAAATTTTAATGTATTCAATGCACAGAAGACAAGATTTAGTTTACTACTAAAACTCAGGAAGGAAAGAAGGAAGGAAGTTGAACATGAATTTAAGTAAGTAAATGAAAACTGAAATTCAAAAGTAGCAAAGAAGCAGGTATTTTTGCATAGGGAAGAATGGAAGGATACAGTGAGAGGGTGGAGGGAAAGTTGGAATTGGAATGTGCTCAATGCCCTGCAGGATCATTACTTGTATTACAGAAGTACCCAAAGGCTATGACCATGGTTTGGCTCTCCTCTGCTAGGTACTGTATAAATACAGAGTCTTTAAAAAGTAAGAGAGCCCCTGCCCAAGGAGTTTAAATTCTAAGGATCGGATCCTGCAAACACTTATTTGTGTGCTTAACTCTACTACTGAGAATTGTTGCTTTGATTTCAATGAGATTACTTAAGGTAGTATAGTTAAACACATGGGTAAAGGTTTGCAGGATTGGGGCTTAAGTTAACACAAGGTACAAGAGGTTATTTGGTAGCCAAGATGTATAGCTGAGAGGGCAGGACAGAGCCAGCTCAAAACAGGACGGTCAAGAAAGTCAAGGAAGATTTTTCTGTTCAGTTTTGGTCCAAAAGAAGTGTGATAATCTTACAAGGAGAATGGAAATCCCAGAGGTGAAAACTAGAAATAAAGTTGTCACTGAGACTATGCTGAGAAATGCTGCTCGAGGGGCGAGAAGACTGCCGTCTCTGGGACACTGCTGAATAAGGGGAGGTTGGAAACAAAATACTGTAGTTGGCAACCGAGAAATGGTTAAGTGAGGAATATGTATTTTATAGAAAAAGGGAGAGACAGATTTTTGATACAGGCAATGGTCCAGTAGAAACAGATTGGCAATGGTGGTGAGCAAAAGACAAAGCTATGAGACATAGCATCAGAATGTTTTAAAAAAGTGAACTGTCTCCCTTCCTTTTCCTTTCAGCACTATATTTAATATAGCTATACTACCATCATTTTGTGGTCTTTGACAAACCTATTAGAGATTAATATCCAAAATTAACAATACCTTAACTGGAACAAGAAATTAGCAAAATATATAACCTATGACATATTTTGCTACAAATAGAGCTCAGTCTAGCAACTAGCCTAGCTATGAATTTACATAAATCCTGAGATTTGGGAACCAAAAAGAGACGGTCTTGCATTTGTAGAATGTAAACAATTTTTTTTTTAAAGAGAAAAACTTGACTGCCAGATGAAGCAGATAGCAGCAGCACACAGCTATTCTCTGTTCAATTATTTCAGTCAGTTTTGACTAGTAACTAGTCACTGAACTTGACTGAACCAACTGGTATTCTTATTAAACGAACCGTGTTAGTCTTGTGGTTCTACTGTCGTTGCACAGAGCAGGAAGGTAGAGCGGCTGTTTATGGGCCACTAAAGAAATTGAGTATTAGGAAGGCAAAGCTTGTCTTTTAAATTTAAAAGAAAGGAGAAATATATTTATTTATTAGAGAATAAAACTTAAGAGTTAATACACCATACTAACTTCCTGTTCAGAATACTGTCATTATTCTCTCTTGTGCACATGGCTCAGGCAGAGTTGTGCACACTGACAGAGCAAAAATATCACACCCAATAGCTGTAGTTTTGGAAAGACACCACAAATTAAATCAAGGTTTTAAATAAATAAATAAACAAACAAACCCCAATGTCAACTAGCTCCCGAGGCATTTTTTTTTTATTCAGTGTTAGAGCTGACTTAAAAACTAGCAATACGGTCTTAAAAAGCATCCTTTTTTATATCATAATAAAGGAACTCATGGCATAAGAGATTTTTAATATCTGGCTTTTGTCATTTTTGCAATCTTAGGAAGCAAGCGCAAAAGGATATTGGCCACAACACAAGTTCCACTCACATACTGCCCTCAAGTCATGCATGAAATACTCATTATTTACCAGAGCCAGATACAAGATTTATTCTTTCAAATTAGTACAACGATACATACTGGACCAGACACTAGAAGTCGTCCAGAAGAGTTGACTAAGGCCATGTCTACACTAGTACTTATGTCAGCAAAATTCTTTTTGCTCAGGATTGTGAAAAAACCACCCCCCCCTCTAAGCGACATGAGTTTCACCAGCATAAGTAATAGTGTGCACAGTGGTATGTCAGTGGGAGAGCTTCTCCCGCTAACATAATTAAATCACCCCTAACAAGGGGCAATAGCTATGTTGACAGGAGAGCTCTCTCCCATTGGCATAGAGCAGCTACACAAGAGATCTTACGGCAGCA